GATGTAAAGGTTATTCTTGACAAATACATACTAAAGATATGGACAACACAAGGCCGTTGTGGAAAAATTCATAATGTAAAAGGAATAGAAGTGGAAAGAGATCCTAAACTGAGTACTACACGCAGATACTGATACCTAGCATGTAAAATGATTAGGTTGGCCTTTGAAGTTTATAATTCAAAAGAATATTGTCAATTAGTAGATGATAGTATTAATACTTTAATTAGTCAAATCACAAACCTTCGCTTACAAGCACAAGATAATGACAACAATAACGATGATGGTGTAAATAAAGTCAATATTCATGGTACACAACCTAAGGAATTCAAACAATGACTTACTACCAAGAGGAAAGGTTATAAAAGATTTAAAGGTTAGCATGAGCTACAAGCAAAAAAAAAAAAAAAACAACAAAACTCCAACTTTAGGTCAATCAGCATCTCAGGTACTTTGTTATAATGACTTTTTTTTTAATCAATGAATGCACTTTTTTTTATCAATGAATGCATTTATCAATGCTCTGTGTTTTGTTTAAAGTACATTGTTCAGCACCTCCATGTTATCCCCCTCAATCATTATTCAATTAATTTTTACAAATTTGTTGACAATAAGACTATTCAACTTACATCAAACCAATTCTTTTATTTTTTTTATTTCATCTATTCTTGCTCGTAATGTCTCTTCTTATATCTCTTCTTATTTTGTAAGGACAACTTGATGATACTAATGTTTCAATACTTGATGAAATTTGATTACGCAATTGTCAAAACTTCTTTTGTTTCTAAGCTAAATATGTATTTATACATTCTTTTTTTGTGTAAGAATGAAGGTTGAAAAACTTATGTAATCAAGTTTCTTTGGCCCCCATTGCATGTTGTCTGTGTTTGCATAATTTTTCCAATTTCTGATGTATTCGCTTAAGCAAACAAAATCACTTAAGCAGATCTTGATTCGCTGAGAAATTTAAATATGGGCTCAAGCCTTACTCGCATTCACTTAAGCTATTTCATTTTCGCTTAAGCTATTTTTATGTCTGAAATTATTGCTCTCTATCTTAAATTCGCTTAATATTAATCAAAATTGCTTGTCACGGCTTAAGCGAATCAACAATAGCTTGATTGATTCATAATTTACTGAAGCAAAAAGAATAACTCAAACACATGTCTCTCTAGTCCATTTTCGCTTAAGTTTATTTAATTTCGCTTGGAAAGGCTTAAGCTAAATTGGATTTGCTTAAGTTAAAGTGTGTGCTTAAGCAAACATGTTTCTAGTTTCTTGTGACTTGCTTGGGCGTGCTTTTCAAGTCTTCTCCCCATTTTCTTAAGCCATTGTCCATGCTTAAGCGAATGAATGCACTTCATATTCGCTTAAACGAACGATTTTTGTTTAAGCAAAAACGCACTGGGCTCTTGCCAAAATTGCAGAGGATCCGGATCAAAATAATTCAATCACTGAAGTTAGTCACTACAAATTAGATCTAAGCGCGTGAAGAGGGGAGAAGAAAAATGAGTTCAACATTGGCATGGTAAATGAAGTAGTCGCCGAAAAACAAGGACTACTAAAGGCTCAAATCCATTAGGAAGAGAGAGTGGTCTTGAAGACTTCATCTGCGAGCAACATTGTCACTGCCGAAGGCTCCATTTTCCTTACCCGCCGCAAGGTTTCCCTGTCCAAATTAGATTCGCCTCTATGAGCTCCCTCCTCCTCCCGTTGTCAGTGACGCCATAGTGTTAACAATATGCTTTTGAAACTGTTGTCAGTTATTTCAGTTTATTATATTAGTATCATAGTCAATAAGTCGATATTTTATGAATAATTTAGTTTGTTATCAAATCTTTCAGTTACATAATTAGTTTAAGTTTCTTTGACTTATTATAAATGCATTGTTGCTATTGAATAAAAGTTGAGTTCTTTCTCCATTCATTCTTCTCACATTTCTGCGCATTTCCTTTTCTTTATTTTATTTTACTTTTTACCATAAAACCAACAAAGTGGTATCAGAGCTATTTTCTTATGGACCTATGAAAATGGATGCTAAATTAAATTTCTCACAAGTTGCTTCTCCTGTCTTTGATGGAGAAAATTATAATCTTTGGGCTATCAAAGAAGCTTTAGATATTTGAAAAGCTGTTGAAGACGATTACGAAGTTCTTCCACTGCCGCACGATTCTACCATAGCCCAAATAAAGAGTCACAAAGAGAGAAAAACAAGAAAGGCAAAGGCAAAATCATGTCTTTTTGCTAGTGTTTCAACAACTATCTTCACCATAATCATGACTTTAAAATAGCAAAGGCAATTTAGGATTATCTTAAGAAATAATATGTTGGGAATGAAAGAATTTAAGGTATGCAATTTTTGAATTTGGTGAGAGAATTTGAACTCCAAAGAATGAAAGATTCTGACACAATCAAAGTATACTTAGGCAGACTGCTTAGCATAGCCAACAAGATAAGATTACTAAGTACTGATTTTCGTGATTCTAGAATTGTTGAAAAAATTCTTGTAACAATGCCTGAAAGATTCGAGGCTATAATCACCACCTTAGAGAATACTAAATACTTGTCCAAAATCACACTGGTAGAACTCTTAAATGCCTTACAAGCACAAGAAAAGAGGCATACAATGAAACAAGAATGTGCTATTGAGGGAACCTTACATATCATGCATCATGAAAGTGCAAGATACAATAAGAAGATATGTTATCCTCCATGTCATTATTATGAAAAAAATGGTTATCCTCCTTTTAAATGTTGGAGAAGGTCAAATGCACGATGCAGTAAATGAAACCAAATGGGACATGAAGAAGTTATATGCAAAAATCAAAATCAACCCCAAGATGAAAAGACTAAGATTGCTCATCACGAGGAAGAATATCATTTATTTGTTGCTACTTGCCTCTCCGACTTTAAATCAAATAAAGGTTGGCTAATTGATAGTAGTTGTACTAACCACATGACTAATAATAAAAAATTCTTTAGAGATTTCATATCGATTAACATCACTAAGGTCAAAATAGGTAATGGTGATTTCATCTCAGTCAAAGATAAGGGAACAATTGCAATAGCAAATTATTCATGCATGAAGTTAATTCATGATGTTCTTTGGATTCTTAAAATTGACCAAAATTTGTAAAGTGTTGGTCAATTGATTGAAGGGAGATTTAAAGTTATTTTTGAAGATAAACATTATTTGATTAAAGATGAAGTTAGTCAAGATATTTTCAAAGTAAAAATGATATGAAAAAAGTTTACTCTGAATCTATGGAAGCAAGAACAAACAACTTTCTCATGCAACGAAAATACCACAATATTTTATCATAATATCTTGAGTGTTGAAAGTAAGTTTTCTAGTTTCATCTATAATGCAAATGAAAGACATTCTAAGGTTGTAAAGAGAGTGGTTAAATATTTCAAAGACACTCGTAACTCAAGCATCAACTTTAAAAGGAGTGAAAAATTCAAGTTGATTGATTTCTTTAACAGTAATCTAAGTGACTCAGTTAATTACTTATCTTTTCTATGGTAAAAGAAGAGTTTCTTTGATTCTAATGTGAAGCGGAAAGAGAACATAAAATTCTTATTGACAACAAATTCATTTTTTGTTAATAAATTTAAACTGCAAAAAGATAAAATTTACAGTTTAAAAAAAAAAGAAATGTTAATAATATTTTTTTAAAACTGCTATTAGTTATTTTCTGTTATTTCAATTTATTAAATTAATATCATAGTCACTAAGTCAATTTTAGAAATAATTTAATTTGTTATCAAATTTTTTAGTTACGTGATCCGTTTAAATTTTTTTAATCTAATATAAATATATTGTTACTATTAAATAAAAGTTAAATTTTTTCTCCATTCATTCTTTTTATATTTTTGCATATTTTCTTTTCTTTATTTTATATTACTTTTTTTTTTATCATAAAACCAACACATAACCATTCTCTCTCCTCCTTTCATTGTAGCTTTCTCTCTCCGAATCAAGGCACTGAAGCTACCCTCAGCCACCGCGAGCCAAATTGCTGTCCCTGCGTCATCTTCGCCATATCCTCCACCGCGAATCACATCTACTTCAATCCCCAAATCTAAACGTAAAATGGGAAGGTTCTAGACCACTCGTTATTTTTTGCTTTCGATATATTTTTTTAATTTTAATAATAATTATTTTGCGACTAATTAATTTGATCGCTAATCAATGGCCAGAAGAAATTTAATGACTGACTCAATATTTTAGTTTCATGACTGATTAATTTGGTTGCTAATTTAGTGATTAAATTTAAAAAAATTAATGACTAGATTAGCAATCAATTTTGTATTTAAAATTTTTCAACCTATTCTTTTTGTGATTAATTTGATCACTAAATTTTATATTATTAAAATTATCCGTTGTTAGATTTAATTTCTTTGTCAATTTTTTTTTTCAAAATACTCAAATTTTTATTTTTTATTTAAAATATTAATAAATTAAATTGCTTAACATCTTGTTTTCTTCAAAATATATCAATTCAAACATTAAATTTCAGTCAAAATATAAAAATAAAACAAAATTATCATTTTTCAAACGATCTCAAATTTTATCAAAATTTTACTAAATTTTTAAATATTTAGAATTGTTGAATATAACAAATTTATTGTAAACTCCTTTGATATTTGGACAGAAAATAATATTTTGAGAATTTGAAGTAACATAAAATAATGAATGGGCTAAATTTGCACTATATTAAAAGTAAAAATATACATGTAATTGGTTCGAGAAGAAAAATTAAAAGAATGAATTTATACATAGATTTAACTTAAAAGACTAAAAATATAATAATTTTTTTTATAGCTTTAGAGGATATATCCTTCAATCCATACCGTAAGGAGAAATTAACAAAGAAATAAAAATAAGTGATGAATATAGTTAATAATATGTAAAAGAAGAAAGATTAAAAAGAAAAATAAGCGATAAGCCCTAGATATGTATAAAATTTAGAGTGTGATAGCAGAAAATTCTTCTTTACTTTCTTCATATGATTTTCTTCGTATTGTGTCTATGCCGGGTGATTCTGAATAGTGAAAACAGGGCAAACATAACATTCATTTCCGTTATCGTTTTCCAATTGAATGATAGTTATCGTACATAACTGTTTTGTCAGTTTCTTTTATCAGTTATGGAAACGGAATCTGACTAATATAAACCCGTCGTTATAACGCAAGAAAACGAAGCAACGAGGAAACAACAGTTACGTACCTCATTCGTTCTCCTTTGCGCTCAAAATTGGCAAAATCAAACACCTTCATTGATTGACTCTCTGACTCGCTCAGAATGGCCGCGTTTTCCATCAACAGCGATTCCCATTCCAGGTTTACGCCAGTGCTTGTGAATGTGATTCTCAACACACAACGCGATAAATGAAAAATACTTCATTTACATCACTATTTTTCCCAATTGAGTGAAATTCCAAGTTTTCTTCTCTCTTCTTAATCGTTCTCAAACTAATTGTTAACATTATGATGCTGCTTATAACAGCTCCCTTCCAGATTATGCTGAGATTGTTGTGGTGCGTCATGGTGAAACAGCTTGGAATGCTAATGGAAAAATCCAGGTGCTTTATGTTTTCTCTTTTCGCCTTCAACATACGAAATTGTTTTAATTGAATATTGCATTTGTTGTATAAAGAAAATAGGAAGATTATTTCATGAGGTTTTGAAACTTCTATTCTTTTTGTGTTATCCATAACCTATTCCAAAGAAATAGGGATGTTCGTTATATAGACAATTAAATCTATAAACTGTAGATTCTCAATAAATTGGACAATATGGCTTTTATTTTATTGAATTTTGGTAATGTAGAGTGTTCTTCCTTCTTGAACTGCAGTATATGTTTCACTATGGATTTTGGTGATGTAAAGTGTTCTACCTATCTTGAGTTGCTATTTTTTTTTCTTGGCTTCTACAGTATGTGTTTTAGTAGATTAAGTACCTTATTTTATTTCTAAACAGTTACAGTAATGTGTAAAGTATTCATTAGATTTTAACCTCTATAGCGGATTATACATTACACTAAGGCAGTTTAATATATTCATTTCTTCAGATGCCATCTGTGGGTCTATTTTCTGGTGACTATATGATTTGGGTAAAAGCATTGATGAATCATGAAATTGAAAGGGGAACGGATGGGGGGTCTTCCCCCACTAACCTGTACATCCACAACTAGCACAACTCATCCTCTTTTATGTCATACTTGGCCTGAAAATACTTCATATTGAAACAGTCAAAAAGCTGTTTTGGCTGTAATCTAATTGCCCATACTTTTCTTTCCTGTAATTTCTATCACTTAACTTTAGGGGCTTACTACGGTAGATTATTGAGATGGTAGTGTATGGGTAGCTTATTTACAACTTACAGCATTATCAAAACAAATTACAATTTTCTGGTGTTTCACTAAAATTGTTGTATCTCTTTTGTATAAAAACAAAGATACGATGTTTATATCCATAGTTACAAACTTTTGCATTTGCAGGGAACAATCACAGTTATAATTGTAAAAGATTTTTTCAATAAAATTGTTCCTTTTTATTTTTTAAACAAATGTTGAAAGTGACTTGTGCATGTGCCAGTTTTTCAATGCTGAACCTTAGAAACGGTCAATTAATATAGCTTGTTTATTCTTTTCATGCATACAAATGACAAGATGCTTTCTAAGTCTCCTAGTCCTTCTATAGAAATATAAATATACCATCTATGTGTTTACATTTAATAATATTTTTCTTGTGAATTATTTCTTATATTTGGGGTTTCGTTTTAAGTTTTCTGGCCTTGATATATTCAAATTTCACTCATATATGTAAACAGGGACACCTTGATATTGAATTAAATGAAGCTGGAAGAGAGCAAGCAGTTGCAGTAAGTTGTGCTTTTTGCATTCTTTTCATTTATATACAAACCAAGAACGGAGCCTTGCATTACAGTTTTTGTTTATCTATGCCTTTGTGACCCTAATTTCTGCAAATTTTACAATTCAGGTGGGCGATAGACTATCTAGGGAATCGAAGGTCTGTGTTATATATACTTCTGACTTGCAACGAGCTTTTGAAACTGCACAGATAATTGCATCCAAGTGTGGAGGGCTAGAGGTTTGAACTTAAAGCCTTCTTCATGTTGCATATTATTGATTCAATTGTAACAAGTCGAAAACGTAGTTATGATTTCCATTTTACCATGTTCAATGCTTTAAGTCTTTGGCTCCTTTGGTATATAGGTTTTCAAACATTCTTGCCTTGTATCATTGTCTGGACTGGATTACGATTGACTATGCTAAGTAATCTTTCTGTTTCTAGTAATTATGAAGTACACAGATGAATCATTCTTTTTCCTTATATTGAAATTATGGGAGTTTAACTTATCTAAACTAAGATTGTGTGACTTGAGAAAGTAAGGGCTTGTCCATCCTTGAATGAAAGTTGATTAAATTTATGAGGTACTTTATTTCAAATCAAGGGTGAATACATTCTTACTTTTCCACTTTACAGGAATTAAATCCTAGACACAGGAAGGAAGAAAAGAGAATAGGATGTATGATTAATATATGGTGTGTTATGATGTGATATAAAATACTACTCTGAAGGTTCTATTTTTACTCATAATTTGATCAAGTCTTAATGTAGTCTGGTACAAGCCCAAACTCACTAGTATAGTAAGACTAAGGTTGTTAAACTCGAGAGTTAATGTAAATTCGAATCATAAACTCATAAGAGTTTACCTTATACAAAAGTAATATTTAAAAAGCTATAATAATGAAATAGAACATAGGAATAAAGTTAAAATCATACTAAAATAACCAAATCATATAATGACAATGTGATTTTGGTATCCAAATTCTAAATTTGGTGTTTTGCAACTTGCGACAAGGGAAGATAAGTGGTGGTCGAATTCAAAATGTTATTTTTTGTGAGAAAATGTAATTTCCTTTGTTTTGTTAAACTCGTAAAATTAGTTATAAACTCTTGAGTTTACTTGAGTTGACCTAAAAACAAGTTTCCATGCGAGTTGACACAATTTCCTTACCTGGAATCGTGAACTCATAATGAGTATACAAGTTAAAACGTGAGTTTAACCATGAGTAACACTACAAATCTTAATTAAATAAGGAAATAAGAGTGGAAACAAAATGAACAGGGAAAATTCCTAAAGATGCTTTATAAATTAGATTATTAATTGATTCCACTATATAAAGATGATGTTGCATACTCTAAAGATATTTTAAAATATTCTCTGATATAGTAAAGATATTCCGAAATATTTTGTAGGCATTCTTTCCAATATCAGCAAAAAAGAATCTTAACTCTTACTTCAATTGAATATTAGGGTATCGGCATATCTCTTCTAAAACTTGTCTTTCTTTCTCTGCCTTCATGATTAACTGAAAATTTTAAGTAAAATTATGTTTAGATTTTTATCCTTTTTTTTTTTTGTTAATTCTAAACACATTTAGTACTTATGATCCTTCATCTATTCTTTTTCCTAACAATATATACCTCTGGTTGAAATTTTAGGTTATCAAGGATTCTGACCTACGGGAAAGACACCTAGGGGATCTTCAAGGCCATGTTTTTAATGATATAGCAAAAACTAATCTTACAGCTTACAAGGCCTTTGTATCTAAGAATGAAGATCAAGAAATACCAGTAAGTTTCATAGAAACCAACTTGTAAGCATGGAGTTCCTTGACAAGAAATTAATAACCTAAAAAGTTTAAATTTGGAGCAGGCTGCCTAAGAAAGTTCTTCAAGTTTAATAGGACATGTCCAAAGAATTTGGAAGATGAGTGTAACTGATGACTCCCTGTAATTGCATTTAGTTGGCCGCATGTGGAACATGAAAAACAAGCCAAAAGATGTCATATCATGTCATACCAAAAAAAGAATAAGAGATGATTGGTTAGAGAACTCAGACAATGGTTGTTTAAAGATTGGTTAGATCATCATCCAATGTAAAAATTCTAGACATGCTAAGAATGAACTGTCAGACACCTCTAGCAAATCTCGTGGAGTCTGACTTGTATTTAGATTATAATTTGCTTATTTATCCATGTTCTAGTTGTCTCATTTGTTTTATATCATAACTACATCTTTGTCAAGTAGTCTTGCTTGTATCTTGGAATTGCCATCTCCAAAGTGTTTCTGATTGTGTCATGGCCTCAGTTATGACTGTCGAGAGAATTGAGATTATAAAAGAAAAACATTAAAATCTACTGCTTAATGCAGAAACGAGGGTACATACATGATATACCTGTTTATGATTTTTATGAATATGTGCCTTAAATTTTGCAAATGCATAACATTGTTCCATATACCATTATGTGCAGGGTGGTGGAGAAAGTTTTGTTCAGCTTTACGATCGCTGCACGTCTGCATTGCTTAGAATTGGCTTAAAGCATAAAGGTAGGCTACCCGCCATGACATAACGTGGAAATAATTTTTCTCGAATTTGGATGTCATGTTATTAACTAACATGATATGGTCATGTTGAAAATTGAAAAACATTTTTAAGTAAGGATATGCTGTGATTGGTTGTAGGACCCACTAATTAAATTTGATAAAAAAATGTGTCTCTCTCTCTGCAACAAGATCATATCATGTTATTCCATAAAACGAGAGGATCCAAACTCATGTTTTTCCTAATTAATCATTGGTTTGACATGAGATCTTTTTAGTTCATGCAATAGTCTCAGTACATAACACCCTTTCTTGCCATTTGCTACCCAACTTGTCTGGCTAGATTGTTATGAACGGCAAGCAATAATCTCATTCAGACAACGTTGGCATAACATTTTTTTGGTGAAAAAAGCTACATTAGGTTGATGTTATCCGTGTTAATTGCAGGGGAGCGAGTAGTTGTTGTCACTCATGGAGGATTCATCAGAGCACTTCACAGGTGGGCCAGTCCAAATGGAAGGTCTGCTGGGAAGGTACTCAATACAAGTGTCAATGTTTTTCACTTGTATGGTGAGGACAAATGCACCTTAAAAGTGTGGGGTGATGTCAGCCATCTTAGCAAAACTGGATTTCTACAGTCTGGTTTTGGGGGTGACAGAACTTCTGGTTAGGCCATTGTTTCCCATTAAAGATAATAAATGTTTGATTATTTCCCGTCCAAAGTTAACAAAAGATTCAGGAAGAAGAGTGGAAAGGGATATTAAGAGGTGATGATAATTATTATTTTGACCTCAATTTTATATTTGGTGCTTGTTATGGTACTTCTAAACTTGGCGGGACATTAAATACTCTTTTTAGATTATATTAAAATATTAAAGGATATTTATGTCTTTTTCAAATACACTACTAACTCTACTGCTAAAATCAGTAGTTATAATTATTTCACGTTTACAAGAGTATAATAGAATACTCTCTCATTTCTCAGTGCACCCTAGAATTTACCTTTATATTTTTGGCTGTGATGCATCAATCTGCATTACAGAATTGTTGCTTTTAAAATCTTTACGACTGCATAATGTACTGATAAATGTTATGGTGCACATTCCGTGGTAGTATTTTTATTTACCGGTAGGCCCTTTAAACTTCGATAGCATATGATTAATGTAGACAATGGAAGTCGAAAAGTTTGACATTTTAAAGTATGAATTGCAAGCTAGGGGTTTCACAGTGATTCATTGAATCAATTAGTAATCCTTGTTTATTGGGGAGTGGAAAATAGATCATCTCATAATAGATCTTTACATTATTTTATTGTGTGAAATTTTGATGTCCATTTCATTTTTTGTTGACATTCATAAATTTTGATAGGGAACTACCTAATTAATGTCTATAAAGAAAGAAATAGACAATTTTTATGACATAATTTGTAAAAAGAAAATTCGTTCTCCAGGTATGCTTGTCCAAAATGAGTGAAAATGTTTGGCATAGAGAAGAAGTAAGATGATTTTCTGGAATAACTCTTACCGAGTAAAAGAGTAAATCACACAACTTTAAAAACTTAATTAATAATATTTAAAGTTGAGAAAAATTCAATGTTTCAATAGAATTATAAAACAGCATAAACTTTCCATTGGTGTACGCTAAGCATATTTTCAGTTGATGACTGAAGATTAGTCTCTTCTGAGACGTAAACATTCACCGAAATGAACTTTTTTTATTTTTCAACAAAGCATATTTTGTTAATATGGTCAGGAATCGACTTATAAACATGTAAAAATTCAATAATTCTGATGAAGAAAAATAAATGTCATTTTATTCAATTCTACAATTCTCACTTAATCCTTTTAAACACCTGCAATTATTGATTTTCATAAAATATTGAGGGATTTTTATCCCTTTAAAATTCAACATAAAATTACAGATATAGATTTTCATGCATATATATGGGTGTGTAAGTTGCACGTAATTAAATATTATAAGAACAAAGAACCTGGAAAAAGTAAGATATATTCACGGTATTTGGTAAGCTTGTTAGATTGAAGGATTTTCAATATTGCCAAAAAAACCGGATAACCTGCTTCGCCGCATTTCTAAAAGTAAATTAATTTTTTTAACCTGTCTCATTTAAGAGTAAACTGACAAACTAATGGGAAAAAAAAAATATAAAACACCAATCTGCCTAAAATTAACATAAAATTAAAAAAAAAATAATAAAAACTTATAAAAATATTTAAATAATACTTTTATATTAATAAAAATTAATATTTAACCAGTAAGTAATTATATTTTATTTAAAATTTTAAAAATCAGTCTAACGGTTGACCCGCTCCAGCCCATCATTAGCCCATTTTTCAGCAGTAGGTCCAATATCCAAATGTATGAAAGTATGAGTCAACTTGAAGTCTATATGCTGATTTCAACCAACATATCATCGACCCATAAAAAGGTCTTAATGCATTCGTTTACTATGAACCAAAACAATATAAAAAATATTTTAGCTTCTTCAGTTGTCCAAGAAGAAATGGCTTCCTTGAACTTGAAATATAATAATGACTTGGTGATTCACGAGACAAACTACATTGATTTTGTCATCAGATTCGCAAGTTCTAAGAGCAGAATTCGAAACATTTTAGCTCTGCAAACAAAATGATTTTTCTGTACTACATTATCCACTGTATTCAGCAAGTAATAAGTTAAACATAAAAGTTTTTCATCCTTTCTTTGTTCTTTCTAGTTTTACAATTATTCCAATTTTTTTTATTTTGTCCTTTTCACTTTCATTCCTTCTTCCACTATTTATTTATCAATAAATAAAAACATGTAAATTACACTTTCCAAAATATTTACATAAACTAAGACTTGAAAAGATAAGCACAACTTATGGTTTTATTGTGAATCTGCAGAAGAAAGTATTCAAATGATCAGCTACTAGTTGTAGGGTAGTGTGAGACCTGATTGCATTCAAAATACTCTCCATACAAACTTTTCGATTTTTGACTATGATTGGTCATAGGAAGGAATTGAAAACTAAAATGAATAATGACAAAGAATTATATCTTCGCAGGGCTTTGTGTTTTCTCCTTTTAACATTCAGATATACATTTTGTCAGTGTTGTCTAATGTATAGGATATGTGGAAGGAAAGTTAGAAAGAAAAGAGTGAAGAAACGGTTGTTGTGGTTGTGGTTGTGGTTGTGGGTGCAAATATTTATTATTACGTTTCTTTCATGATGTGGTGTTGGAGAGTGGAAGAGGAAGAAGCATGCGCTTTAATAGTGGGGCACTTCATAGGTGGCCATGGATACGTGTGTGTGTTTGATGGATCACTTTGTCTGCTTCTTACACACCTCACTTACCCTCTTTGTTCCCTAATTCCTATCACCTTTCTTTTTCATCAAAGGTTTCTGAGTTGGATCTCATCATATGATTACCACAGCTCCTTTGTTTATGCTTCCATCATTAATCTTTTAAAGGTCAACCTTTATATTCAACTAACTAAAGTGAATTGAAATTTAAGAAAAGCTTATAATGCTAATTTCAACACTGTATATGTAAGCTGTTGATCATATTGCTATAAACTAAATTAACATTATACTAATAAAAATATTACTGAATATTGAGTTAATGATTTAGAAATTTAGCAAAGAACTGGTGTGTTGGATATGCACATTATATTCAGAATCATGCTAATTAATTGTGAAATTATCGCCTTCGTTTCATTTATAAATATAATTTTTTTTATTTTTTAAAGAGAATAATTTCAATATATATATATTAGTTTGTTAAAAAGAAATAGGTTCACCAAATTTGATGCTAACACAAATGTTAATGTGTTCATTATATAGTTTAAGAAGATAATTTAACATGTAGTGTATATGCCCATGTAAGGGTCATGCGAGTAAACAAAAAATAGAAATCAATGTCATGGTAAACCGACTTCAGTTGTATGTAATTCATGGGTCTGCATGCATGTTATCAGAAAATTTAAAACTCAATAATTAAACTACTTAGAAAATATGACCTGAAATTTAATTAACATACAATATTAGACAGCATATTATATAAACAAGAGAGTAATATATTCAATTAGTTTCTAAAATTATAAAAGTTAATTAATTTGATTGTTAAAATTAAAAAAATATGATTTTTGTTTATAAAATTACCATACATCGATGGGTTTAATTTTCATTAAAATAAATAAATAAAAATATCTATCATTAAATAATTTTAACAATCAAAACTTTTTTATAATTTTAAAATTAAAATAATTAATGGTTATAATTTTGGGAATGAATTTGATGGATTGGCAAGGAAGTAAACGGTGCAAAAATGACAATTTATTCATGCCTGATCTGGCTCCAAGTACTATATGACACACGGTTCTTTCAGCTAGTCATTTTCAGCATCATCATGAAACGCAAGTCAAAACCAGAAATCACAAGTGCAGCAAATAGCATAATCATATTGTGCAGAACTTGTACAGTTAAAAGTATGATAATACTAATCCCTGCTTTAGTAGTGGATAACAACTTTTTGGGTTTCCGATTTCTTTGACAGTGTTATATTTGCAAATGAACTCACAACAACTGATCATGACAACATGGACACCCTTTCATCTTTGATTCGATTTATAGCTATGTATTGTTGTAATCAAGTATAATGTTTAAAGCGAATTTATGCTTAACATGATTCGAAATTATGCTTAAAGAAATAATTATTTATATTTTCAGGTTTTTGAAAAAAGAATATGTCAAACATGTACTAAGTCTGCAATTAAAATATTTTTACCTAAGGTTATTTGAGCTCCCTATAGACCAGCACCAGCATTGCCAAGGTGATGATTAGAAAGAGACAAAACCACTATATTAATACATGTCTAACATACATAGAAGACATTAATTAGAGATAGTTGAAGCAGAGGTTTTGCTGTTTTGATAAAAATGGTGCCACTTCATATTCAAATAACTATTTGTAGTCTATTTTTAAAAAACTACAACAATGTGTGTAATCAGAGGAAGCAAACAAATGGCGACTAAAAAAACAAATGACGAAAGAAATCTTAGTTGGTCATCAAGTAATGCAACATATATGAGGCACATTTACGTGGGGAGCTAAATTATGGTCATGGCATGGTGAGTGGGTAGCAAGGAGAATACACAATGAATCTTCAGTTCTTCATTGAGTCGCCACACGAAATTTCAATTAAAAATAAAGGAACAAATAATTAATAATAATAATACTCAGGGGACCAATCACATAGTAACATTTAGTTGTATACCAATGCCTTTTCTATTTCGAGAATAAATATATTGTTTATATCTTGAAATTCGGAAAGTGGTAGCGGAACCAATGAATTCTTCTGATTTAAAAGGGTGATCGATTCCACATAATATCAGATTGAGACAACAAAAAAGGTATGGATAATTTCCATTTGGTTAATATAATGTGTAAATTCTCCATCATGAAAGAAAGCGATTTCACGTTCTTTATTTTATTTGCTGTTGCTTTGTTATTATTTTATCATTTTCGGTACGTTTATTTATGTCTCTTATACTAGACTGAGAATCCAAATTCAAGTTTGGTTTGGTTTTAAAAGTAAGTTCAAATTTCTGCATATCCCCAACACAGAAACATCTTCCATCTCATCTATAAATAAATACCAGAAGCTTTTAACTTACATGCAAAAGTGACATTGCTACACTGGAAAAGCAATTCACAAATTTCTCACATACAAGATATAAGTGATTGAGAATTTTAAAACAAATTATCACATCTATATGATTTAATTTTTATTTGAGAAGGGCTTAAATTGTTATTTTAATATTCATCAAAGAATAATATGTATTTTAATTTTTTTATTTTTAAAAATCAAACTCTCTTGCAGTTTAACAATATCCCCTTTCAGTTTCAAATAACTTTTATTGTAATTAGTTTGTAATTTCCTAATTTATACTCATTTTTAAGCCACAAAATACACAATAAATATCTGAGAGAAAGACTTGTTTTATAAATATACATATATAAAATTTTAATTATTATTTTACTAAAACGTATGCTGTAAAAATGATATTATAAAATATTTAATTCGATTCATATAATATTAATATATTATGCTCTTTAACAAAAGTATGAATAAGAAAACTTATTATAAATTTTAGTGCATCAGAAAGAAAAATTAACAATATAAATCATTAGTGAAGATGAATTTGAGGAAAATTTTGAAGACAGAGAGGGAAGAAAAATATGTAGATAAAGATGGGCAATAAGGAAAAGGCAAGAGAGGAAGAAGGGGACAAAGAAAGCCTCTCCTTAATAATATGACATTTCAAGGGTTCCTCATCACTCTTACATTAATTTTTCATACAGCTTTTGGAAAATTTTCTATATGTTTTTGTTAGATTTTCATTAGAGAAGTTCCATATCTTTTGCAATATATTGGCAACTCGTTATGGTAAAAACATTGCAACCTAAATAGATTATTATTTTGGTTCTACAATTCAGCACTGATGATTAAGTTGCATATATTGTCAATATTGTGGAGCTAACTTTTCATTTCTTGTGGACAAAGCATGCATTTAATTAGTTTACATTCCATTCATTTTCAACAAAACACTAATATCAATTTTATTTTGCTTGAACCAACTTTTATCCCAGACCAAATCTTGCGGCTTACTTCATTCACTTTCGGTTTATTAAAATAAATAATTAAAATTTGGATAAAGACAAAAGGAAAATTAAAAATAATTACTGATAATGACATAAGACCACAATGAGTTTTCTTTGTCTCCTCTATTCTATACCTTATTTATAAAATATATATATATATATATATATATATATATATATATATATTTGTTTTTTCATTTTAATAACACTTTTTTAAAGGTTAAACAAATGTCGTTAAAATAAATAATTAGCAACAATTTTCATATTGTGAACATTTTTATTGTCAATAATTATAAAATTGTTTCTAAAATATTATATCAATATAATATTATAATATTTTTAATCATTTAATACATTTTAACTCATTGTTCAACTATTTTATTAAATAATTTTAATTTAATCAAATAACTTATCAATTATAACCTGTAAATTTTCAGCTAATTTTATTAAAGAGTCTGGACCCGTGACCTATTAGGCATAAGACTATAACATAACCTCACTTTTCATCCATGTACCACAAGATAATCAATTATTATTAATGGATAAAATTTATTACTATTTTTCTCATCAATACATAAATGAGTATAACTAAATTAATGAATTCAAACGAAATATAATATGAGAGAGTGCATTTTATTTTGTTAAGAGCATAACATTTTTCATAAAAAATAATCATCATCTTTAAGCTGAATAAGTATATTATAAACAATGAAAGTGTCTTTTTAAATATTTAACACAATTGTATTTTTTAAAATTCAAATTAATTTAAAACCATTACATTAGTTAACCAACTCACTTTGATAATAGAGTGCATTAAGTACATCTTATTCATTCATTATTTTTAAACATGAATTTATACTATTTTTATAAAATAAATTAAACATTTTAATAACTTTGATCTTGTTTAGTAAAAATGTGACTGTGAGAATTAGAACGTCATTCTTCCGTTTTTTTTATTTGTTACCGTTTTAAAATAATATTTTTATAAGTATTTATGTTTGACAGTTGCATTTTCAATATCGAAAGATAAATATTAGACAAACAATTCCTATAATAAAATTATTAAACATATATAATAATTATTATATTAAAATTATAAAAATATAAAATAAATATTTCTCTTTTTAATAAAATTTTATAACTAAAAATAAAGAAATAATCAAGACCTTCGGTCACCGATGATAAGAACATCACGGAACAAATTAAATTTAGTTGTTTCCGTTGGTTGCAACAAAAAACAAATAAATATACGAAACTCTTGTTTTTATTATCACAGTCTACGTCTCTCTCTCTCTCTCGTTTAACTTCGTTCCCAAACCAAACCATTTGTTATGCTTAAACTCTCTTCCACTTCCCCCCATCAACCTTAATTCTCCAAAACCCAATCTTCCAAATCTGCTTCAACTGATTTGTTTGACTCTAACACTTCACTTCACATTGACACAGATTCCATTCCAAAATGGGTCTGTGCAATTCGAAACCTCGTGCAAACCCCACTCTTTCTTCTTCTTCTTCTTCTCCCACTCACACACCCACTAATGCCAATGCCAATGCACAAAACTCAAAGCCCATCCCCAAAAAATCCCCTCTTTTCCCCTTTTACACTCCCAGCCCCGCCCACCACTTCTTCTCCGGCAAGTCTCCGGCGCCGACCACCCCTCGCCGCTTCTTCAGGCCGCCGTCACCGGCGAAGCACATTCGGGCCGTCCTTGCTCGCCGTCAGGGTTCCGTTAAACCAAACGAGGCCACAATCCCCGAAGGCTCCGCAGCAGAGGTTGTTGCTCTCGACAAGAACTTTGGATTCTCGAAACAGTTTAAGCACAAGTTTGAGCTCGGCGATGAGGTTGGAAGAGGACACTTTGGTTACACTTGTTCTGCCAAGTTTCTCAAGGCCCAATTCAAACCCCAACGAGTGGCTGTCAAGGTCATCCCCAAAGCCAAGGTTCCGTAAACATTCTCTCTCACTCTCACTCTCTTTGTGATTTGCAAGCTCAAAGTTTGTGTAGTTAATGCTTGATTTGATTGGTGCATTTCAATTGTAGATGACCACTGCCATTGCCATTGAGGATGTGAGAAGGGAAGTGAAGATTTTGAGGGCTTTGACTGGACATAAGAATCTAATTCAGTTTCATGATGCATATGAGGACAATGATAATGTCTACATAGTAATGGAGTATGGTTTGATTCACGTGTCTTCTTTGTTAAGCTTGTTTTAGTGAAGGTTATAATTGTCTTTTTCTTCAACCCTTTGTGTCTTAGGTTGTGTGAAGGAGGGGAGCTTTTGGACAGAATATTGTCTAGGTATTTGTTTATTGAATATTTATTCATTTGAGTTTATGCTGTTTGGATGCTTGAGGGGGTAAAGTTATGATTGGAAGAGGAACGTGTAATGATTTGTGGCTATGAGATGTGTGTATGGTTTTGCAGAGGTGGGAAATACACGGAGGAAGATGCAAAGGCTGTCATGATACAAATACTGAATGTTGTTGCATTTTGCCATCTACAGGGTGTTGTCCATCGCGATCTTAAACCGGAGGTGAAGTTAGTAGTTGCAATTTGTTTTTTCGGAGTCATAAGATTGAGAGATCCCCTCCCATGTAAAATAGGGGAAAGAAAAAGGAAGAAGTAGGACAGTATGCAAAATAAATTTCTGTTTGAGAAGAAAGATAGAGAAACATAAGGACATTTCATCATTAATTAGGATGCTCTTTTATAACCTTCTTAATAAAATGGTTGCTGACATGTGTAATGTTTTGTTTGGTTCATGGGTCTTGTCTTATAATTCTTATCTAGTATAACTTCTAAGGGTGGGTAGTTTCTGGATCAGAACTTCTTGTTCACATCCAAAGACGAGAACTCAGATCTGAAGGCCATAGACTTTGGGTTGTCAGATTTTGTCAAACTAGGTATGTTTTGTGTCCTTTTATGCATGCTGCATGTTGAGTCCTCGTTTGTTTGGGATATGTTTTGACTTTTCGTTATGCTTAACAGATGAAAGGCTCAATGATATTGTTGGTAGCGCATACTATGTGGCTCCTGAAGTTCTGCATAGAGCATACAGTACAGAGGCTGATGTCTGGAGTATTGGTGTGATTGCATATATTTTATTATGTGGCAGCCGTCCATTTTGGGCACGGACTGAATCTGGGATCTTTCGTGCTGTATTGAAAGCTGATCCAAGTTTTGATGAACCACCTTGGCCTTCTTTATCAGATGAGGCAAAGGATTTTGTTAAGCGACTTCTAAATAAAGATCCAAGGAAAAGAATGACCGCAGCACAGGCATTAGGTGAGTGTCTCATCTATCATTTGACGGTCTTGGTTTTTCTTATATTCTATTCTATTCCTTACAGGGGTATACTGCAGGTCATCCATGGATTAAAAATTATAAGGATGTAAAAGTACCCGTGGATATTCTAGTGTTCAAACTCATGAAGTCATATATGCGTTCCTCTTCTCTACGAAAAGCAGCTTTAAGGGTATATTTATTTTGAACTTGCTTTAAACATCTTAATATTGAATAGAAAAGAACCTTTTGGTAAACTACATAACCTTCGGTTCTTCCCTTTTGATTTTTACTACTGGATGGAACCATTCTCTCAATTGGTTTCATACTCTTCAACTTCTTAATCGGTGTACTACTTATGCAAGAGTTTATTTACTGAATGTTTAAAATCAATCTGAGTTGGTCGTTGCATGAATAATCTGAGTAATAATAAACCAATCTAAGTAGAGATGGAAAAAGAAAGCTACACATGCATTGATTATCTTTAGAACTGTTAGGGATGACTTGAACATCGTTTTTCAGTTGATTTTTTTCTCTAATTTTATTGGTACTGTTCCTCATTCCTTTTGTTGATCACGCTACCTGTATGTTTCCCAATAACTTAGTAGTATTTTATTTTCATGGGCATTGGGACAGGCTTTGTCTAAGACATTAGCTATTGAAGAGCAGCAATATTTGAAGGAGCAGTTTGCGCTATTAGAGCCAAACAAAAATAACACCATTAGCTTGGAAAATATCAAAGCGGTTTGTTTCTTTCCAAATCTTTTTATACACTATATTGAGAGGATGATATTTGAAATCTCATAAATTTGAGCTGGCCAGGCCTTGATGAAGAATGCAACTGATGCTATGAAGGAGTCACGCATTCCTGATTTTCTGGCATCAGTAAGTGCTTTGATTGGACTTTGGAATGCCTCTACACATGATTCAAATGATATTTTAAATTTTTCGCATATACTGGTTAATGGTTATTGATACAAGTGATTTTGGGTGGCAGCTTAAAGCATTGCAATATAGAAGAATGGCTTTTGACGAGTTCTGTGCAGCTGCACTTAGTGTTCATCAACTTGAAGCACTTGACCGGTGGGAGCAACATGCACGCTGTGCCTATGAACTTTTTGAAAAAGATGGAAACAGGGCTATAGTCATTGAGGAACTAGCTTCGGTATGCTTGATTTGACTATAACTATGATGATAGTTTATGTATACATGCCATAGGAATTCTTAGTATTAATAATATTACTGTGTCGACCTTTTTTTTTAAAGATATCTGACAATTTCCAACTTTAGTGGGTTACAATATCCAGCAGCCTAGTAATCTTTAAATTGATTAAAGCTTAAATCACAACGGTGGAGTGGATATATTGGAAGAAATTAGCTTCAGTTGATGCAATATTTTATGGTTAATCTATTTTGGCTTTTTATTAACAGTTATTTATTATATTAGTTTGAGTTTCAATTTATCTAAAACCAACTTTTATAGTTTGGAAATTCGATTCTCATGTATGGTCTTGACTAAATAATTAGGAGCTTGGCCTTGGTCCATCTGTCCCTGTTCATGCCGTTCTTCATGACTGGATTAGGCACACCGATGGAAAGTTGAGCTTCCTTGGGTTTGTTAAATTGTTGCATGGTCCATCTCGAAGTCTTGCAAAACCTCACTAGTAAGTTTGGAAACCCTGTGTCAGAAGATTCAAGTGTGCTCAATTATACTTACGATTATGATAATCTGGCCGATAAAATGCTGTCCAACATCACGGTCCTATCATCAAGGGATCTTCGCCACTGTCGGATTATACTCAACATAAATCATCAGGGATTCTGCCCCACGTTTTATACTAGGGCTCTTGTACATTTGGAACAGGTCAAACCTGCTCCTACAGGCATTTATATTTTCCACTGTAAAGTTGTAGTGTGCTAAGGTGCAAGTCATAGTATTTTGTGATTGTTACTTAATATTCCAACGTGTTCAGAGATTCACGATTGAGGAGTATCATTCTTGTCCAAATACAAATTCATTGCATTGCATCCCAGAGTTGAATGAAAGAAGTTTCTACTTTCTAGAGTTCTCTAGCTTTGTTTGATCGTGTACAGGTGCTGAATAGTATGTAGTTGCTAATGTATTAAGGAACTAGCAGGAGCAGCAGATTAGCTATATGATTCCTGAACTGAAAATTGCTAATAATAACAGGTGTCTTAAAAAAAATGAACACTTTATGTAGCTGTCTTCACCAATAGTGAGACAAAGGTTTGTTGCTGTATCTTAAAAAAATGGGCAAAGGAAGTGAGAACCATATATATACACAAAGCCTTCGCACGTTAATATGAGGGAAACTTCAAACTTAGATGTAAAACAAAACTAGATGCTGAATGTTTTGTAATGTTTACAGCAGATATAATGACTTGGACAAAACTTAGATGCAGTATCATAGATAGATACTTTGTGTTGTTTTTCAATTAATATTTAAGTTTCCTCTCAATAATTTATAAACATTAAAAGTTGACAAACATTGTTAGAGTGAAACTTCATTTTTAATTTGAGAACAACACTAGAAACTCTTATAATATTACACTTAAAAGTAGAGGGCTAGTGGGGCGTACAAAATGTTAATGGGATCACTCCCACTGACAATTCTCGTATCTAAAATAAGATCGTTAGTATCAGCATAGTTTTGGAAAACTACATCACTAGCTGGTATGGTCTAGGTTCTTAAACTAATTGATTGAAACTAAAAACTGTTGAATTGGATGTGATCATATGATAAACTGGTTTGATCAGTAAAGGTTCAAACTCAGAACTTGGGCACGTTTAACAAAAAATCAATACTCCACTGGTCTTATTTGATGGGCACCGTTACCCTTTTTATGGTTCGGAATAGACTTTACCATTACTTGTGAATAACTCCTTAAATTTCACACATCATAGTTCAGTTTGGATAAATACTTAAAGCAAACACTAAGAAAGAAATAAGAAAATAAAATTGATAGAATTTTTTTCATAAAGTAAAATCAGCTTATGCATTTCATGTTTTAGAAAAGTTAAATAAGAGAATTTTCAAAAATATAAAGAATCATAAGTTTATTTTAAATTATAAAATAGTTTAATTATTTTGATTTTTTTTATTTTTTTATTTTAGTCTCCTGTAAATACTTATTAAATACTTAATCTAAATTAAGCCTATTTCAATAATCCCTAGTGTTATTTCAAACAGTAGGAAAAAGTTGATATAAAAAAAAAACTGAGCATAATTCCTTTGGAACGATGGGTGTCCAAGGTTTCCTTTCCTCCCCCCCCCCCCCCACCCCAAAAGAACCCATTCAAAGCCAAGTTATGCATTTGCAACCACCTATGCCATCAAAGCCAAGTTCTTCCAACTCTCCTTTTCTTCCTTATGTGTAATGTCACTTTCCACTGCTGTTAGCACATGCATGCCTATGCATCGTACCTTAAATTTAAAACTATTTACATGATATTATATAAAATTAAATTATTAAAGATAATTATAATAAAGTTTTAAGCTTATTTTATAATGACAGAATGCTAAAATATCTTGATAATTTTTCATGTGTTTCTTTGATCAGAATATATCCATATATATACACATAAGTGAGGAGGCGATATTACAACCTCCTCTCATTCCTAAAATACACCTGTAATTATCTTATTTTAATTCATATATTAGCGAGTTAAATATATACATATATTCTTTCACTCGTTACAACATACACATAAATATTGCCTCAGAATATAATAATGTCATATATTTGTGCAATAATATTAGATGTGAAGTTGATATACTCATATCAGATTAGATTTGAATTTGATATACCCGTATCACATGAACTTTGTCATAAAAGTCATTGTATCCTAATTCTAATTTATGTGAGAATTAATTGATTAGATCAAATTATAATTTAAGTCATAATTTTTGGAGTAGATATACAATAAGTAACAAATTTACACAATTCTCATTGACTACAAGGATAAGAGTTAAGATAGTCATCATCCTCTTATAAGTTAGCTCTTAAGAGTGAACTAAGTTTAAAATTTTTAACATGATATCATGGTGTATCTGGTATAAATGTTGAGTTGTCTCCATATATTTTGTTAAGTCACTCGTGTAAATGTTTAAATGTTCAATCTTAAATATGAAGGTTGTATTAAGATACCTGGTATTGACAATAGAATCAAAATATTCTTTATAAGAGTTAAAGATAATTTGAACTAACTTTTAAAAGTCAATTAAATTTATTAAATATATGAAGTACTAACTTTAGTTATTTCCTAGCATGCTCTTTTAAATTAAAGCCTTGAGTAAAAACTTATATTTTAATTCAGACTAATTAATTAGGTCTTTAAAAAGTTTTATTTATTTCATAATTATATTTATACTTTTTTAATTTATAAAAAATATTAAAAAATATATTTTAATTAATTAGTAAGAAATTGTTCTATTTTAATTTAAAAAATTAGATACTCAACAAATATAAAAACAAAATTAAAGTGATTACCTAGCAAGTATAAAAAAAGTCATAAATAGTTTTAAAAATAAAAAATAAGAATCAACTTGCATTACTACCTACCTATTGCCATCTCTAGCCACCAACAATGAAGAATATTTAAGCAATTAAAAGCAGTCTCTGTATGACTTAGCATTTGAAATCACCATTCAAATATTGAAATGGCTACAACATTAATGGTTACATGCTTTGGGGGTGAGAGGCTCCAAATTGGTAGAACGAATGGCCATGAACGTCCGTCTCATCACGACCCACTACATATAGCACAGTCTCTGTCAATAAATGTCTCTGCCAGTTAGTATTCAAAGCAGTAGCCCCTTCCAAGAAACCCCACAAAAAGGAACCCCGTCTTTGGTGGGGCCTTCAACTTTCCTATTTTACTCCATAATTGTTGCCCCTTCCATTTCCGTGTCTCCTCTGTAACTTATAATATTAATCACACTATAATTTATGACCCCAAGAATGGGAAAGTCATCTCAGCTGGTTGATATAAACTGTGTAAATTCATATTTAGTTTCACTTGTTTTTAAAAAATTAAATCCTTTATTTCTTTTAACTTAAAAAAAAATATTATTGCTATAAATTTAAGTTGAACCAAACATGTTATAATATTTATCTTTCCTGTTATATCCCCAATCTGAAAATGGCAAATATTGATGTACTGTTTATGATTCTCCATACCTTGTGATGTATCTATACTTGTATCCATGAAATTAGAGAAGAGGAAATATTTTTCCTCGGAACACTCTAGACTCTAGTTAACCACAAGCAGATACTCTCTTTCATGCCCAACAATTATTCTCGAAATTAGCCTTCTTTTGCCAGCATAGAAGTATTCTTGGCTTTAACATCTTTGAATCTCAAACCGCCTTTTATTATTGTTTATATACAGAGCAGGGATTCTTCCAATTGAGCCAAGGAATAACGATACTATTGAAGCTTTTCCCCCACGAAAAATACGGATAGATTCTGAATTTCATAACACGATCCATCCGGAAAGGGCTGGGGAAGCAAGCCATCACATCACAGAGTATATATATCCCCAAGAAAGTTGAATCGATAAATTTCAGCGTTGTACTTGCATGCATATCTTGGTTTTGGAGCGCAAGAGGCAGAAAATTGAGGGGTGAAAAATGAAAAGAAAGAGAGGAACGTGATGAATATGCTAAGTAATCCTGTAATATGATTTAAAAAAGAAAGAAAGATACTATATAAGGAAGTGCTATTTTTAATTCTATATAAGAAATAAATAACTAATTTATTAAGATTATTAATAATAGTTATACGTTATTAATTTATATTTTCAATGTTTATCTAAAAGTATATAATAAAAACTTATATAGTAAAATAAAATGTATTGGTAAAATAAAATGTTATAACAAAAAATTATAATTTATAATTTATTAATATTAACAAAAATGCCATTGATATCGTACACATAATATTGGTTATTATTATCTCTAATTCTTACTTATTTTTAATTTTTTTCATATGTATATCTCTCTAAATTATACTTCAAAAATAAAAGGAAAGAAAATTTATGGTCAATCCTCAAGAAACATTTTCCCACACACACACACACACACACACACACACACACACACACATATATATATATATATATATATATATATATATATATATATATATATATTACTACCTCTACCTTTAATAATAATAAAAATATAGGTCTAATTTGGATTTTTTTTTTACTTATAAAAGTTTAAAAAATAAATAGTAAAATAAATAAAATTTATTTATAAATTAAAATTAATTGTTTTTTATTCTTTTATTTTATTTCTTTAAAATTTGAGGAGTATAAATTATTTTTAGTTTATAAAAAATTTTATTTTTTTATATTAGTTTTTCTTCTATAGTTATTTATTTAAAAGTTTATCTAAACGGAATTATAGTTTATCATAGGTAAGTATGTGGATTGAGATTTGTGATTGAGTTTCACCCCAAGTTAATTACCATGAATAATGAGATTGATAAAAAAAATAAAAATTACCAAATATCTATCAAGATATTCTAGTTTTTTTTTTCATTAGTTGATGTTAATATATTTTTTTTCTCAGAAATATTAGTGTGCGTGTAAACAAGGAAACAGAAGTCAACTCATAAGTCTCATTCTTAATGGGACAAGTTTTAATTGCAGTGTGTTTTTTTTGCCAAAAAAGAATTATTTTTGTGTGGCAGAGCAGTTGATTGTAATGAAAACAGGAGCTAAGATATGGAAGAAGTCAACAGAGGCATTAATGAGTGATTGTGGAGACGTTGCTGTAATTAAACTTTTCAGATACGAGTTGGGACCTGTCTATGCAGATATGAATCATAGCTTCCCAATCATGATATGGTTGTATGAACTACAAATAAAGAAATAAGCAATCATGCAACACTCCCATTGCGCCAACCATTTCATGTGGTGGAACCGTCTTTCTTATTCACTGTAGCTGTCACCGCCCCTCCTATGCCCCAACATATATGACGCCTCCTCCAATACTTGACGCATTCGTCGCTTTTTGACCCCTCACCTATCACCCTTCTGTCACCCATTGCTTCCCTTCACCTTTCTCTCTCTTCCAATTTCCATTCTTTCTCCAAAATCAAAGAAACCCAATCCATATTTCTATTTTCTTATACTTGTTCTAGATTTTTTTAAACACTTAGAATCTACCCAAATCAATAGATAAATTTACACACTTGTAAATTTGTTACCGGCAGATAAAGTTTATAAAAAATAAAATTAATAATTATTTTTTATTTTAATCTAAATTATATCTGAGTCATGTAACTAAATATGGTAAATGAGTTTATTATTAAAAAAATTTTACATTCAAACTTAAAATTTTACTTAAATAATAATAAACTGTTTTTTATTTGAACTAATCTCTATCAGATAAATTAATAAGTATTTTTGTCATATTATTTTATTTAAATAAGTATAATATTTTTAAAATATAAATAATTATTAAATTTTAGATGACATATAATTCTATAAAATTTGATATATATAATTATAAAAATAATATAAAATAATTTAATAGACAGATTTAACTAATTTTAAAATTAGTATTTTGTTTTTTAATATTAGATTTTATGTGTGATTTTTTATTTTTGAGTAATAGAATGAGCTATTTGACATTAATTAATTAAATTGTCAAAAATTATGTATTATTTAAAAATTACAAAGTGAAGTACAAAAGTTTTTTTTTTCATAATTTAAACTCACAATTCTCTACTAATTCTTTTAAGTCTATCTAACTTGACCCAATTGTAATTTGTTTCAAAAATTTTAGTTTAGACTTCTAGTTTAATTCTGAGCCTTGGAGGCCACGTATCTTACTTTTGTTTATTGCATCTTTAAATTTATTTATTTTTTATCTTTATTTCTTTGAGCTTCAAGGAGTCCTTGAATGTATGCCCAAAATCATATCATCAAAATCTAAGTTGTCTCACTATAAGCTATCATGAAGGATTGTTTTGAAATTTGAAAACTGGATTTTTCATATAATTGAATACCCAAAACCATAAAACAACTTCATCGATCTAAGATAAATGGAACTTTGCATGATTATAATGATTTTGACGAAGAACAAAGACACTAACAAAACCATGATGCTATTTTGGTTTAATGAATAGCTTGAGTAATTCAGTCAAAAACATCCAAGAAACATCTCATGTTGATTCATGGATAAAAAATAAGATTCAGTATTTTAGATTTAAGTTTTGAAATCCCTAGGTTCGATAGAGTAAAAATAAATTCTTTCCATTGTGACATGATTCAATTCAATTTTAATGTTAAAACATTTCTTTTATCAAGATCGATAAAAGCCTTAATCAAATTTGCACGAGAAACCAAGTTTTATAGCTTGAAACAGACATTCATAATAGATCTAATAAAGGTAACTAATCCAAGTTACGTCAAGATTCCAGCCGACTAATGAAGAAATTTAACATCGTTATAACAAAAGTAAACGAAAAAATAAACTTGACACAAAATAAAAAAAATGAAAAAACATAAAAAAGAGTTAAAAAATAAAGAATTATAATACTAATTTCATTTTATTGAATCCTGTATGTATAAGTATTGAATCTCATGAATGATTGAATCTGTCATGTTGACCACAATGAAGGGTCTATATATACAGAAGAAGAATAAAAATGATAGATAACGTATAAACAAAAAATAACTAAGAACGAACATAAAGTTAACTCCTAATAATAAGAAGCAACAGAACATGAACTGATTATCATAATAAGTTGAATTGGTTTAGAACATAAAGAAATAGCATGAAAATAACAACAGAGAAAGTTGAATACTTTAGGAGATTCAAGCAAGTACACATAGTTTTTGTGTCCAAAATTAGAACACGAATTCCTGCTTTTATCCATGCATCAATGTCCCCATCCCACTCCTTCGCTCCCCTTAACTTCTCCCCCGCTGGGCCCACAGTGTTGTTCGACGCCCACTCCCTTCCAAACCAACTTGACCCATTGCCGACAAGTTAGTCATTAATCATGATTTTGTAAAATCCATACATATTTGGACAAGAGAGAATAATCCAAATCAATACACAAATGGATCATATGATATCCTTTTCTTTTAGTAATTTCAGTGTCTAAAAATTGGAAAACAGTAATTACTGGACACAAAGACGCACCGTATAGCCTTTAATTTATACACATAATATTTAGCGCGCACACCGCCAAGTCCCAACCCAACATCATCATTTGATTGGAAACATCATTAATTCTTTGTTCATGTCCTGACGTCAGAGTTGATTCATAATTGAGGAAAACTAGAAGAATCTAGCAGAAGAGGAACGAAGATCCATCTCCTGGGTCCAAGCGTTTCGGTCTTGAACGTGCAAGTGCCAGAAAGTTTGAGCCAATGCGTCTGGATCCATTGTACCCTCACCTCCTCCTCCTCCCACCACTCCACTGCTTTGCTCCCCCACCGAATTACCTCTCTGCCACGACGTCGTTAACGTTGTTCCTCTGCGCCCCACAACATGCAAATCATCTTCTTCTTCTTCTTTTCATTTTCATTTTTTACTCATTAATAATCGAATACCATTTAATCAGTAATTAAGCATGATACAAGCTGATTAATTAGCTTAGCATTATTTTAATTTAATTATACCAGGATAAGGGGAGGGATCTGTGGAGGAAGAAATTAACGAATTTAATTACCTGGGTGGGCCAATGAGACCGTCGATGATAACATGAGCTACGTGCACTCCTTGAGGTTGAAATTCCCTTGCAAGGCATTGCGATAGTGCTCTCAAAGCGAATTTCCCACAGCCTGTCTCATCCCCCCCATTGGATTGGGTGCAGTGTTCTCACAAATTAATTTCATTAACCTCAATTTAATCATACAACTAATTAACAAATAAAAAAAATCCATTTTAAAAAGAAACGAATTAAACAGAATCGTATTTACATAGTTCAGCGTGTCCAGCAATGCCATTCAGCGAAGCGGAACAACCAGTAAAGAGAATCGTTCCTTTTCCTCTTTCAACCATCCCCGGCAGCACCTTATTTCATTCATTTCACCATCAAACATAAACGATCGTTATTAATTACTATCAACAAAAAAGTAGTAAGATTATTCACTCATTCATGAATACATAAAAAATATCTCATTATAATAAGGTTTTATACATTATTTATTGAAGGGGTGAGGACAGGTACCTGTTGAGCGCAGTGGAAAGCGCCAACGGATGAAACGGCGAGGGATTTTTCGAAGGAATGAAGGCGAATGTCTTGGAAGGAGGTTGGATACCAAGGGAGTGGTTGGTAAGCATTGTACACCAAAACTTCCACGAATCCTAGAGATAGCACTCCTTCGAATGCTTCCCTCACGCTTCTCGAATCCGAACAGTCTATTCGTATCGCGAACACCTGTGCCTTCTCCTCCCGAGCTATTTCGTCCGCGAATCTCGACAACCTCCCTGTGAATCAATTTTCATCTATCATACCATACTACACTGTAGATTGCATAATCAAACATAAAAACTAATAAAAGAGATAGGCTTTTTATTTTGTTGTATTGTATGAATTAACAAGTGCGTGGTAGTATTAATTGATTTTACCCAAGTCACGAGCGAGGATGGCAACGGTGTAGCCTTCGTGAGCGAACTTGCGAGCGATGGAGAGGCCGAGATTGGGGCCTACACCAACGATGGCTGCAATGCCTCGTGGAGAAGGCGAGCTTGCCATGCTTCGCATCTCTCTCTCTCTCTCTCTTTCGAGTAGAAGAAGAAGAAGAAGAAGAAGAGAGGAATTAACAAATTGAATTTGGGAGGGTGAATATGAATTCTTAAAGAGGTGAGAGAGAGTAATTAAGTAGTGCAGAAGGTTGGAGTTTGGGAGAGGGTGAGATGTCGTGGGGGTGTCTGAATCATTGCCTCCCTTACACCAGGCATTTCTCTTCCTCTCCAGTTCAACTTCAACTTCCTCTCTTGCGTCTCTTTTCTCTCCTCAATGAATCTCACGTCACCTTATTTTACCCTCTTTTCCTCGTTAATTTTCCTGTTCAAATTTATCTTCTCACTTTGGTACCTCATTTCTTCCACGCATCTTATGCTCTTTTCTCTTTTTCTTTTTTATTACTATTATTTATTACCTTTATTGTCTTTCTCTCCCTTCAAAACGTATCAACGCTCTCGCACTGTTAAATTATGACCGACCAAGGCCTACTCCACCTTAATAGAAAAAATCCCTAGTTTCAGTTTTAAAGAATACAATTACATTAAAACTTTATCTCCCATATATTATGGTTTGACAAATTTTGACATAGGGAATTATTGTTCATATGGATGGTTATTATAATTATTTAATTTTAATAATTTTTTATAAACAATTAAAATAATATATAATTATAATTTAAAATTTAATTTAGTTAATTAAATTATATTTTATGTAAAAATATTGATGGTATAAAAACATTGCTAACATGAATATAAATTCACACACATATTATATATAAGAAATGATTTTTTTATATTAGTGTAAGTTTAAAAATTCTTACACTTAATTTAAGCATTTTATTTAACTTAAATCTAATAGTTAGTGAAGTAATAAATTATAATCCATTAGATTCTAAGTTAAATGAAAGACTCAAATTATATATATGAATGATTAAATTAAAATCTAATTAATAGTCACACAATTATTTAAAATTGTGTAATTATCATGTAAATAAAATTTAATAATTTATATTTATTATTTTTACTTGAGTAATTAATATTCCATGTATTACTTTTAAAAAATTATTATAATTTATTAAAAATATTTATTTAATATAACATATTTTATACTATAAATTTATAGAAAAATAAAATTTCTTAAAAAAAATAAAGAATAATTAAATTTTTATATTATTAATATTTATAATGAATTATCATTATTAAATAATATTAAATAAACTATTATAATTTATTATAATATTAAATTACATATTTATTTAATTTTTGTGTATATTATTGATGATTATTAAATTATAGTAATAATTTTTGTTCATATAATTTTATAAATATATTTTTATATATAAAATATAAATTTAATTAATTTTAAATAAAATAATTTAATGAAAAAATAAACAAGCATATGTGTTTTTATTAAAATAATAATAATTATTAATTATTCTCTAAAAAATAGACTAATCTACCTCTAATCCTGACCTAACTTACTTTTTTTTCCATATATTATGGCCTAATACTAAAGTAAGCTTATTAAATATAAAGTTTTGAAAAAATAGAATTGTGTAATAAATTTTATGCGTGAGCTGTAGTCCATATTCACAGCGTTAGTTTGTGTTTCATAAATAATATATGCAGAAGGATTTTAATTGATTTTTTTTATTAATTTTACCTATTTAAAAATAAGTGAACATTTCTAGTTAATTAGGTGTTTAGTTATGTATGATTGGAGTAGTTAGTCCTGTTGCTTTAGTCCATAAACAAATCGTGTTTTCGTTATTTTATTTTATTTTTTGAAAAAAGACAAATTTTAACTAATTATTATGTAAGGAAAATGATAACCAGAAAAGACAAAAAAAAAATAAAAAATTTCCATGTGAGAATGACAATGCAGGCAGAGTCAAATTGATTATTATGAGGGTTATTGAGATTGATTATGGTTAGTCTCGTTAGAAAAGTATACGTTGAAAAAAATAGTGCCAAATATTATTCGTATAAATTTTTCATTGAAACTATTTTTGTGTGCCATAGCGCACGACTTAATATGTAAATATCATACGATAAATCCTAAATCCTAAACCTTCGGATTTGTTTTTTATTTTAAAAAATTATTTAGATATAAAATAATAGGTTGTTCAGTTTTATTTATTAATTTATTTTTAAATTCAAATACAAAAATAAGTGATTCAACGAGTTCAAAAATTCCTCTTTAAGTTGAAAATATTCACATTACGATGGAGTATCTCTTTCGGCGATAATTTTTTTCATTCATAAAGTTTGAATTCCAAATATATTACTTTTTATTATTTGTTCATATATATGTTTTAAAATATTTTAATATATTTTGATAGTAAAACAAGTTGACCTGCTTACTTGTAGGTCAAAGTGGGCTTATGTACCCATTTATTTTGTGGGCCAACTGGATTTGATTTGTTTAATGACTGTCTATCACGACTAATCTTATATTAGTTGGGTTGGCCTGTTTACTTATCTTTATTATTAATGATGGATGTATTAAATCACATGTATAAAGTGGGATTCTCACTTTACTACTTAAGATTCCATTATAGTGAGAGTTGTACTAAAAGAAAAATATGTGAAGACGACTTTGTTCCTGAGATATGCGTTTAGGTATGTAATTTCGAGAAAAGTCTCATCCAAAAATAATAATTTTTAAAATTACGCAATTAATTTAATTTACATCAAAATTGTATGTTTTATATTTTGAAATTAATCCAATTACATTTTTTTATAATATTATATATTAATATAATCGGTGTTCACAAAATAAAGTGACATCTCAAGCTATAAAGTAATATTAGAGTCAACAGAATATTAATCATACACTTGGGTTATTTTGTCAATAGTTTATATATTTATCTGTCAAGTTTTATAAATAAATTTTTCAAAATTAGAAATCAATTTTCTAAATTTGCATATACTATTTGAAATGTAGTGCATTCCCTTATGTAGCATGTAGTGCATTCCCAGGAACACCTAAGCTAAAATTGTCAAAGAGATTTGTATGTTATCAATTTTATATTATTTTTATTTTTTAAGCTGCAAAATTATTTATCAAAATTTTACAAGTGAGTAATTCTTGTGTTGATTTAAAAATAAAAGGATAAAAAATAATTATGTTATCCTATTCTTTTATTCTATTCATCAAACGAGACTTATAAGATTTTCCAAGTCAAATATCTCAAAAAAAAAAAAAAATACTATATGTAATTATTGTTGCCGTAAATAATTACGTTTGAATGAATGGTGTGCACTATAATGTTTAATAAATATAATATCTATGAAATTGGATATGAAATATTTAGACTAAAAAATTATTTAAATTGTTTTCAATTATAATCCCAAGCATAATATATATATTCGGTAAACATGTATATATGTGGGTCATGAAAATGACGTTGGAAATATAATATCTTAAATATAGAATCCCGGATATGTACATGTTTCATATTCAGTTCAATTAAGATATGAGACGATTCATGAGTTTGTTGGAATTCTACCAACCTTGTTTTCTTATTTACTTTTCTTTTATCTCTCGTTGATAGAATAAAACAATTCATTTTTTTAAAATAATTAGGTGATATATTTATTATTTTTACGAGAAAAAAACAAAAAAGGTAGAAATAACATAAAAATTTTGTTATTTAAATAAAAAATAAAAAAAAGATTTTTTTTAAAATTAATATATATTATTGTCTAATTAAAAATTATTATATTATTATAACTATTATTTTAATAATAATCACTTTAAAAGTTATATTTATAATAATTTTTATTTAGTAGATAGCGTAAAATTTTTTATATAAAATATATTTAAATAAATTAAGCATTAAAATCAATGTATAATTTTTTTCTTAAATTGGGTAGTCATTATCCTTAACACGTATACTAGCATTTGTGAATGAAAAAGGAATGGATAAAAAATGATTGACAACATTTATTTGGGTGGATTGGAAGATTTGGACTTTGAAAGTGCATGCGTGACACGTTTACGATAGCACAAATAATTCCCCACCACTTGTATTTCCAGCTCGGTAGTAGGAACATTGCAGATGTAGTGTTCGCTTCAAGACATGAGTTTTGCGTCAGTTCAATAATTTCTTACAACAGAATATCATTCATGTTTCGTAAATGAAAGACAATTATAAAAGTGTTACATATATTATTATATGTCCGTTTATGGCCTCCTTAGATCTCTGCCCACATCACGATCTTTCCTTAGCTATGAAATTGCAAAACCACAAAATATGCAAGTGCTGCAAATTGGACAAACACAAATGTTGCTGCGCGTTCCCGTTATGAGTTGATGATTGATAGATGAGGTCTTTCATTATATTATTGAAGTGGATGTGGCATAAACAGATAAGCCTCATTGCTTTGATTATAATGAGCGGTGCTTCCCGTCTAGCGCATTTTTCGATTATGACCCATCTAAATCCAATCTATTTATCGGCTCGAATAGCAATTATTTTGGCTTTTTGGTATATTGTTCTAAATTACAGTTGGAAAACCTTCATTTTGAGGATTTCGTTAACTACTCATGCGGCTTCCTTTCGTTTTGTGCTGATCGAATAATGTTTGTATCTTCTACATGAAGCTTTAGGAGAAAATTGGCTAGAATTTATGACTAGGTTGCGACAATACTGAAGACTGATTTGAAGTCCCACACCGTAGTTTCATTTCTGCACCCTACATAGAGAGAGAGAGAGAGAGATTCACTTTAATTAAGTTTTTAGATCTATATGAATAAATAAATGGTGAATATAATGGTTTTTTAAACCCTGTGTCAATTTTTTAATAAATAAGATAGTAAATAGATAGTAAATAAAAAGGATAATTAGTAAAATTATCCTTTTTTCAACTTTTGTGGTAAAACCTTAAATGGCAATCAATTTGAATTGAATGGTATAATTTTAATAAAATGATTGAATATTTTTGTTTGAGTAATTTTTGGTGTGCTTTTAATTAAAATTAGAAATTTGCTTTTGTAATTTATGAAATAAATGTTGATACACGTTGTTGAGATAAAATTTTAGTTTTATTGAAAAATAACAAAAAAGTACTTATGGTATTAAACAAAATTGTTTCATATTTATTAACTTAATTTTTTAGAGTTAATTTTATGAAATTAAAAAATATTCAGTTATTATATTAAAATTATAAAAATATAATAAATAATTTTTTAATAAAATTTTATTATTATTAGTTATTTATCTTTCGTCCTAAAGTTAATGTTAACAAAATTTTAATTT